GGGCTTAACTTATTTAGCAGACTATAGGGTAAACAGATGTGCTGTCATCCAGGCTTTGTTGTTCCATTTCGAGAGCATAGGCAGAGTAGAGTTAGCATAATTCTTAAGGGCCTTGGGATTTTCAGAAGGGTAAATAAATACTGGTTTCAACTTCAAGTCACTAGCTTGAAGTCAGTAGCCCCTGAAGAGAGTCAGTCTATCCTTTGAAGCTCTGAAATCTAGCACTGATTTTTCCCCTCTAGCTGGGAAAGTCCTAGATGATATCTTCTTCCAGTAGAAGGCTGTTTTTTCTACATTGAAGTCTCTAGTATAGTCACTTTCATCAATGATCTTAGCTAGATCTTCTGAATGATCTGCTGCAGCTTCTATATCAGCACTCGCTAATCCACCTTGCATTTTTAGACGATGCAATTAGCCTCTTTCCTTAAATTTCATGAACCAACCTGGGCTAGTTTCAGACTTCTGCAATGTCCTCACTTCTCTCAGCCTTCGTAGAATCGAAGAGAGAGGCTTGCTCTGGCTTAGGCTTATGGAATGTTGTGGCTGGTTTGATCTTCTGTCCAGACTGCTAAAACTTTCTGCACATCAACAGTAAGGCAGTTTCGCTTTCTTATCATTCATGTGTTCACTAGAGTAGCACTTTTTAATTTCCTTCAAGCATTTTTCCTTTGCTTTTATAATTTGGCTGTTGATCATGAGAGGCCTGGCTTTCTGCCTATCTCCGCTTTCAACATGCCTTCCCTACTAAGCTTAATCATTTCTAGCTTTTGATTTAAAATGAGAGACATGCAACTCTTCCTTTCACTTGAACACTTCGAAGCCACTGTAGACTTACTAACTGGCCTCATTGCCCTGTCTCAGGGAAGAGAGAGTCCTAACGAGAGGGAGAGAGAACAGAGAACTTCCTGGTCTGTGAAGTATTTAGAACACATGTGTTTATCCGTTAAGTTCATCATCTTACAAAGGTTGCTGGTGCCCTGAAAAAGTTACAATAGTAACATCAAAGATCACAGCACACATCATCATTAACAGACATAGTACTAATGAAAAAATATGAACTACTGTAAGAATTGCCAGTATGTGACACAGATATGAAGTGAGCACATGGGGTTGGCTCTGATAGATTTGCTCCATATAGGGTTGCCGTGAACTGTCGATTTATAAACGACACAATATCTGCAAAGTGCAATCAAGTGCAACACAATGAAATGAGAGATGCCTGCACTTTCATCGCCGTGGAGCATATCACTGAACAAAACTTCGTGGCTAGTATTTGATTACCCAGGAGGTCAGCCAAACATGTGGTTAGGGCATCAGCAAGAAGAAGTAAACATTTCTATTTAGGAAGGAGAATTTTGATATTTAAAAATAAATGTGTAAAACTAGCAAGGCAAAAAAAAAGGACCTCATTGGATTGCCTTCCTGTTAGTTTTTGGTTTAGTATTCATGCATAGCAAGCTTGTACACATGTACACAAACACATATTTCAAATGCTTCTTAGGAGATGGAGTAAGGAAAAGAGGATGCTGTATCTTTTCGTTAAAAATCCTTAAAGCCTGCAAAGTCCTTAATCAAGCCCTGTTTGGGGTGAATTTTCTCTTTGTAAAGCAAATAACCTTCTGTAGTTTATATAATCATCCTTGACTTGTGCCTTAGGAGGGTAAGTCTGATTTTTTTAAAACAAAATACATCACTTAAAGTGAGCTATTGTTCTGTTGGCTGGACTTGACGAAATGGAAGACAGTGCCAGCCTCCTATACTGGCAGAATGGCTGTTTGAGCAGTTAACATTCAGCAGAATTCTGTACCAGTCAGCTTAGGTTAGTTTAAGGTCTGTCACAACACGGTTGTCTGTGCACTCCGTAAATGTTGGTTTCCTTGACTGGTAGCTGTTCTGTCAGGGTGCTTTCTTGCAAAGTGCTTTGAAAAGCATGGAGGGATGCTGCTTCTGGATACATTGATACATCTCTAATGTTTCTCACTATGTGCACTCTTGTACTTTCTTTTTTTTT